AATTTTTTTTTTTTTTTTAAGATGGCAATGAACATTTTCATGCAGCCCAGACTCAGCATGTTAGAAACAGCTCAGTCTTCCCACACACCTGACCTTTTCCGGTGTGGCCTCTTACTGGAATTGGTGCCCTCCGGAAGCCCCCTTCTCTCTCTCTCCACCCTGCACGGGCCTGCAGTGCTCTAGCAGTCTCCCGTGGTGTTCCTGCCTTCCTCCCGCCTTCCTGGCAGCAGCCAGCAGGTCTGCTCCCATCACTTCCTGCCTTGGCTCCCAGGGACTGGGGACCCCAAGCCATCCAAGGTCAACGGGTCAGGGGTCTCCAGCTGCTCAGCTCCTTCCGCCATGCCCATGCCACGTCTCAGCATCCCCAGGCATGCCAAGGCACCCTCACTCACGTCTTCCTACCCGTCGTCCCTTCTGCTCATCAGCTCACCATCCTCCTTCCCTGACTCAAGGCCCTGTAAGGCTCCCTGCTGGGCACTCCTGTAGGGAACACATGATGCGGTGGACAAGAGTCTGGCCTCCGGGGTCAGCAGACGGCATAATGGTTTTGTCACTGGACTCCCACATAGTCGACTGCAGTCTGAGTCCCAGAACTGGTGGCTTTAAACTCATGCCGGGTGCATGTGTGTATGTGCCCCCAACCCTAAGGAAACTGGAGGAGGTCATCAGCTCACCATCCTCCTTCCCTGACTCAAGGCCCTGTAAGGCTCCCTGCTGGGCACTCCTGTAGGGAACACATGATGCGGTGGACAAGAGTCTGGCCTCCGGGGTCAGCAGACGGCATAATGGTTTTGTCACTGGACTCCCACATAGTCGACTGCAGTCTGAGTCCCAGAACTGGTGGCTTGAAACTCATGCCGGGTGCATGTGTGTATGTGCCCCAAACCCTAAGGAAACTGGAGGAGGAGGGATTGTGGTATGGCCATCTCCCCTGGGCATGATTTTTTGCTTTCGGTCTCTCTACCAAGTGCACGCACCCGATAGCAAAACTATCTAAGAAAAAAAAAAGGAAAAAAAATCAGAGTGTGGCTTCCCTTGTTGAGCCTCCATCTCCTCCCCTATAAAATGAGGGCGTCCATTCCAGTGTCCACAGGCTGATTCCGTGGCTTGGACGTGACAGTACACTTGCCCTGGGTACGAGGACACCAGGCCACGTGAGTTGCTGGCTGTGGCTGCTTTTGCTTCCGTGTCTGTTTTCCCCGAAGACCACGAGCGCCGGTGAGCAGTTTCCGTGTTCTGTTCAGGGCTGTTTCCCTGGAGCTGAACACATTGGCTGCCAGAGTAGGCACTCGAAAATGTCACCGGAAGGACCGAAGACGGGGCGGGTCCTGTGAGTTCTCCTGCCTTCAGAGCGAGATCCCCTCGGTGCTGAGGGGACCTCTGCCAAGTCACTCAAGGCACCTGAAACTTCCTAGTGACACCACTCATTTAATTTGGCCTGAGAAGGAAACGAAAGTTTAGGGAGCGCTTACAGAAGCTCAGGCCAGGAGTGGCCCCATCAGACAGCTGGAGGAGGTGTAACCTCCTGGGGGCCTAGGTGCGGCAGATGTGCCCTCCGAGGGTGCTGCGTGGCAGAAACCCTGCAGTGTGGCATCGTGGGGAGGCTTGTGATGTTAGAGCAGAGACTGCCTCGGTACCCCCGCCCCCAGGTCCAGGCAGGAGCGGAAGTTTCCATCTACAGAGCAGCTCTTGCTCCATGGCGTGGTTATCAGCACCGACACAGCACCTGGGGGTGACAGCCCCTGGTGGGGGCCGGTTGGGACTTCACACAACTCAGCCTCTTGGCCAGCAGGGCCATCCCTTGGAACAATGAGGCGAGAACAAAGCAATGGAGGCTGGGTACAGGAAAGGAACTGGTGACAGTGAAGTAAACACAAGCCCCAATCCCAAATATATCTAGGATAAAAAGCCAAAATTAAATTTAAAGTGAAAGTCAGTGTTTATGCAGTAGAGCCATTTGGAGAGGATGACTCACTTGCAAAGGAACAGATGTTCTCATTTGCATAGTCTCTGTAATCTCGGATGGACTTCGCTCTGACCTGGGGCACAGCGCGCACGCCCTCCAGCTGGTGGCCCTCCATGTGGGACACTGAGGGAGAGCGTCTTCATTAGTCTAATCCTTGGCCCTGTACCCCTGGGGCTCCCAGCAGGAAACGCTTCATCCCCCTTCACGCTGGAGGAGTCTGGAAAAGGTGTCATTCTTTGCCCTTCCCGGTGGCCCTCGTCTGAGCTGCTTCAGGCAAAGCAGATGTGGGTAATGACCACGATTATGAACAAGATGACCGCGTTGGCATTCACGAAGTTCCTCCAGAAGCGCTTCCTGGACACGGGCCCATGTGCTTTCCCTTCCAGCTCCTCCTCGGGGGCCTCCGTCTTGCCCTCAGTCACCTGTACCTTCTCACTGGCTTCCTCCGTCTCCTCTGCTGTCTTTTCTGGGACCAGTTTGGGGCCTGGGTATGAGTCTAGGCCACAGAACAGTTCCCAGATATTCCAGAAGCAGTTCCTGTCCTGCTCATATACACCTGGAACAGAGGGGACAGGCAAAGGGCACGAGGTGTGCAGGCCACAACCTGACATTTTAGGGAGTCAGGTCTTAGCAGGGAGTCCCATGTGAAGACCAGGGGGCGGGCCTCCAATACAAAGGCTAGCCCTCAGTCCCAGCTGTGACATGCCTACAACGCTCCTCAGAAACACGACAGAGACAGAGAGTGAGATGAGGGACTTGGGGTGCTGTGGGGAGATGGGTGCAGACACTCAGCTGGGCCCAGATCTTCCTGTGTGGGCCATGCCCACGCTTCCCCATCTCTCTAGGTCTAGGGCAGGTGGCTGCTACTCCTTGGGCACCCCTCGCCCCCCACTCACTACTCTGGAGGACAGGAAAAAGCCTGTGCACCCCGGAAATGAACACCGCTCTCTGGACCTGTCTCTCCAGGCAGCTACCGGTCTTACTGCACAGCCCTAGCAGGGTTCACTCCGGGCCCTTGGAAGTACATCCCTGGTGTTGCTGGGAGTGCATCTAGAAATCACAGGAAGGTTGCTGTTCATTTCTCTAGGCCAGACTAGTGAAAATGCCCATGTGGGCCTTGACTGGTTCTTCACCCGCTGGCTCTGGCTGACCCTCGGGCTGGCACAGGCTCGGGTCAGCACCACGGCCAGCGCCAGCGCGCTGGCTTGAGGCCCAGCCCTGCCTGCAATGGGACCCTAGAGCTGCTCCTGGCAATGGCTCGCTCCTGGCAATGGCTCCCTCCTGGACGACCAGACAACCCCATCTCAGTCTGAGCGGGCTCCCAGCACTGTGCGCTGCACCATCATGGGTGTCTCAGCCTGCTGTACAGCCCCTGCGCCAGCTGAGGCTGAGGAGGCATCAGGGACGTGGAACCCATTAGGCGGGGACAGGGGAGCCTGTCTTCCAAAGGGAAGGGCGTCTGCCGCTGGAGGGCCCCAGAGCCGGGGCACAGATCTCTGATGTCGAGGCTGAGAAGCCCTGAGCACCAGACTCTTCCTTCTGTTCTCAAATGCCCATGTGCTTAGAGGACCTCCGACGCTGCTGGGAGAGGTGTTGGGGCCCGTGTGGAAAAGGCAGCTGGTCACTGAATCACAGCTATTGCACCAAACAGTCAGTGCTGTGTGATGGGCAGTGGGACAGTCTGGAGGCCAGGAGCCTGAACCCTGGAGTCAGACCACCTGTGTTCAAATCCCAGCTCTGCCCCTAGCTGGTTGTCTGTGGAGCAAGTTACTTAACTGCTCTGTGCCTTGGTTTCCCCGGCTCTAAAATGGGGACAGTAATTGCGCCCAGCAATATGGGTATACTTTTGGCATGCCTGGCAAGCCAACTTACAACCTTTGGAGGAGAAGAACTATCAGCAGGCCTCAGAAGGAGCCTGGTGCCCTGCCTTCTCCAGGTCCATGGGGCCCCATGCCCAGGGAAGGCCACACTCCCAACCCACTGAAGTCAATGGAGGCCACCCTGAACAGGTGCATATTTCCTTCTGCCGGTGTTGGGAGGAAGCTCCGGGTCTCTCTGGGCTGTGGTCACAGGACAGTCCTCACACCTATTTTTCTTCACCCATCTGCATTTCCTTCCATCCCAACTCCCCTCGCCATGTAAGACGCTTCTAAGACACCCAGCCCTGCTGGCGCTATGTCCCTTCCTCACAGCCTGGAGTGCTGTCACCCAATGTCTGCTTCCTGTCCCACGCGCCTCCCTCCAGCCCAGGCTGCTCCCCGTTCATGTCTGCTAGGCCTGACGACCTCCCCATGTCCTGACCGAGGGCAGCACAGGCCACGCCCACCTCTCCATGTCCTGACGCCCCCCCCGCCCCCCCGCAGGGGACATCTTATGAAAAGTAAAGGACAGGCCTCTCTCTGCAGGAACATCTGGGGGGGGGTGAAGACCGAGGGCAGCACAGGCCACGCCCACCTCTCCGTGGTCTGGAGCCTCGTCCTTACCTGGCCGCTCTCGGTGCCCAGGGAACCTGATCTTGCGTACCTCTGCGTCCAGGTCGGTCCTCTCCTCTGTGCTGTTGCGCAGACTCCAGCAGAGCCTGTAGAGCTGGGGAGGGACAGCAGGGACCTGTCATCACCCAGGCCCTGCCGCCGAGCTCCACAGCCCAAGCCTAGGCACCAGAGTCGTGAAGGACGGAGAAGAGATCTGGTCGTTAGACTCCAGATTCCTGGGGAAGTGTGGGAACCAGGAACTCTGGGCTCGAGTTCTGGCCTGGCACCCTGTTGTATGCATGACCTTGGCAAAGGCAGGTACAGCCTGCCTGGGCCTCGGTGTCCTTCAGCTGAACCCCAAAGCTGGGGGTTGGAGGCAGGGAGCTCAGAGCTCCTTCCCATCCTGAGGGCTCTGGATTCGTATCTCCTCAGGGTGGGAGATGCCGCCCATCGCCCGGTGCCTACTTCTGGTGGTGGGAGGGAAGCCCTTTCACCTGGACGAGCGACACAGGGCAGCCCAGAGCTGCGTTCATGCCAGAAGCCCTTCACTGGGCATCAGAGACAGCACAAACTCAGGCCAGGAGGGGCCGGCCATTCCTGGCCCTGGGACAGAGCTCAAGTGTTCAAGCTCTATAGGCATTTGCAGGTGCCAAACCAGGGGGGCAGAAGCACCCCCTTTTCCTGTCTTACCTATAATTATTTTTTTCTTCCTAAAAACATATATGGAGAGCTGACTCCATGGCTTATTGGTGGAAGCAGATCCCACATGGTCGACCATATGGTTCATGTCCTAGACCTGGCGGCTTGGTGCATGGGTGTGCATACCCAATATCCTGAGAGAGGCGGGTGAAATGGAGGGGAAAGGTTTACAGTGTGACCATTCCTCATAGGAGGTACTTTCTTTTCTTTTTTTTTTTAAGTTTTTTGCCATAGGGTGCATGCGCTCAACAGAGAGAGACAGTTTGAGGGCAAGTGAGAAATCACCCCTCAGGAGGGATGGCCATGCCACAATCCCTTCTCCATTCTCCTCCTGGGATCTTGGGCATGTATGCACATGCACCTGGTGTAATCTTCAAGTCAACAGTTCTGGGACTTGAACCACAGTTGGTCATGTGGGAGTCCAACACCTTCACCACCATATCGCCTGCTGGCCCTGGGGTACTTTATACTCTCCCTCTTTCTCTGTCTCTCTGTGGTCAGAGCATACACCATCTAGAAGACAAAAAAATAAAAACAAACAAACAAACAAAAACTCCACAAAGCATTGTCGATGAAAAAAAATAACCAACTGTAAAATTAATAATTAATAATTAATGTGGTTTATTTCCAAGCCAACTGTGAGTGACCTAGGCCCAGAGAAGAAGCATACATGCCTTTTCTGGGGGTGATCATGTACAGGGGTTCCTTTTATTTGTTTGAGATTGACAGACAACATTTAGTGAAGAGATTTTCCATTGGTCTGGCCCAAAAAGGCAGGACATGTAGAAGGGGGCGGGGCTTGTAGGTTATAGGTGGGCTCCACAATTCTTAGGTTGGTGACTGGAAGGGAAGATCTGTGTCTTGGGAAGAGATTAAAGAAAGGCTTAATCTACATCTCAAGGAAAGGAAAGTTCTGTGTCCTGGGAAGAGATAAGCACAAGAATATACTGTAATTGGTTGAAATATACATCTCAAAGATACTATGCCAGGGACAGGAGGTAGGAAGAATCCTGTTAATAGAAAATAAATGGTCTGTTAATGTTTGTGGGCATGACTTCCCCAGTCCCCTTTTGAAAAGATTTTGGAAAAATAGGAAAAATAGTCAGACTTCTGTCCACAGCATGTATGGCAACTTTGGGAAACAACAAGACCCAGCCAATTGTTTTGCCTTCTTTTTTCACCCCCGAAAGGGTTAGAGTTGGGGGCCAGCAGGCAGCATAGTGGATAAGGTGTTGGACTCCCACGTGGCTGACCACGGTTCAAGTCTTAGACCTGTTGGCTTGAAAAATCACAGCAGGTGCGTGTTGTGTGTGTCCAAAATCCCAGGACGAGAATGGAGGAGAAGCGATTTTGGCGTGGTCATCCTCCTGGGAGGTAATCTCTCACTTTCCCTCTCTCCGTGTCTCTGTGTGTCTCTCCGATGAGCACATGTGTCTTATGGCAAAAAAACCTTAAAAGAAAAAAGTGTTAGGGTCAGCGGAAGCACAAGGAAGAACATTTCCACCACGCCTGTCCTGGAATACCTACATGGATACATTCAACTCTGCAGCAGCCTCAGGAGAGGTAGATTGGAATCTCTGTCCTGCCTCTTAGACCAAAACATTGGAACTAAAATTCTCTTGTGTTGATGGCAGAGACTTGGCTTGACCTTTGCTATTTTTTTTTTTTTTTTTGCCATAGGACGCATGCACTCACCAGAAAGCAAGAGAGAAAGAAAGAGCCATCACTTGCCAGGGGATGACCATGCCACGCTCTGTTCTCCTCCATTCTTCTCTAGGGGTTTTGGGCATGTGTATGTTCCTAGTGTGATTTTCAGGCTGCCAAGTGCAGGATTAGAACCTCGGAGGTTGCCATGAGGGATTCTGTGCCTTAACCACCACTGATCCCCTTTAATTGCTTCTTAATGCCATCACACACGTGCATTTTGCTTTCCCAATAATTCTGTCAGCCTCCTTGATGAGTCTGCTGGGTTGCTGGAAAAGCCCGCATTCTAGTGCTGTATGGATCTGTGGGCTTTGAGCTTGGACAAGTCAGGGCAGGGAGCTCCCCTCCCTTGGCAGCAGTAGGCAGAGGCGCTGTGTGTTCCAGGGCTGAGGCCCGTGCCCAGCTCATTGTCACTGATCCGTAGATACACATTTTCCCTTTTATCTCCCCCTCCGCTTTTGGCAGCTACCTCGTGTTTTCCAAAGCTCCGGCCTACTTCAGGCAACGAACACTCCGAAGATCCTTGGCTGACTGAGAAGTGGGCAAAGGCAGAACTGGAGCATGAGAGAACGGCAGAAAAGAATGCAGATGGCCTAAGCCAACAAGACCCTGAGCAGCAGTAAACAGCATCAGCCGCCCCCAGTTTCTCAAGGCACCAGGAACAAGAAGTCTCCCGGCTGTGTCCCCAAGCTGGGAGCAATTCCTGGGGGAGTTTGGACATGGCTTTCTACCCCATGTGCTCATCCCTCGTCCAACCAGGCTGTGCATGCGAGAGAAGAATGAATCGGATGGAAAATGTTGAGCAAAAGGTGTGGTCAGAGGGAAAAACCCGAAGATGGGGCTGAGGGGCCCTGAGGCTTGCAGTTTTCCATGTGCATGTGTCCTTGGGGCTCAGCGTTCGATAAGGAACACCGGCTTCTATCCAGACCCCGGGGCAGTAGTGAGAAAGGCCTCATAGGCCCTCTTAATTGCTGGATGGGTGCCCAGGACCCTCCCTCCTGCTGCTTCTTGGGAGGGCTAACCCCCTGTCCAGCTAACGTGCCATGGTGACATGGTGAAGCTTCAAAGCCAGATTGGAGCCCAGTCCTGCCACTTACCGGTTTGGTATCTTGAGCAATGTATTTAACTCCTCAGAACCTAGGCCTCCTAATACATATTCAACACAGAGGTGACCACAGCCTGCCTCAGAGAGGCAGGAGAGGCACAGGCAGCTGCCTGGCAATCCCGCCACTCCCCCTTGGTTTACCTCCTTCAGGTGGCGGCACCGGGACTACCCTGACGATAGTGCTTTGTACAGGGTGTTAGTGAATTTAACAGTTCCAAGGAAAGTTTGCATTTAAAAGCCCAGTTTCTCAATCTAAGTGTCTAGTTGGCCGATCTTTGAAGAGCTAGTTTATTTATTCATTAATTTTAGGTTTTTGCTAATTATATAAGGTGTGCATGCTCACAGGAGACACACAGAGGATGACGGCGAGAGGGAAAGTGAGAAATCACCCCCTGTAGGGATGGCCACACCACAATCCCTTCTCTTCCCTTCTCCTCTTGGGATTTTGGGAGCGCACACACACACTGAGTGTGATTCTCAAGTCACTGGGTCTGAGACTTGAACCACGGTCAGCCATGTGGGATCCGGCACCTTAATCATCACACCACCTGCTTGCCCCTAGTTTTGTTTTGTAAAGAAGGTCCTTTTCTGCATGACTTGTGTATTTCAGCCCATTCCAGTCCTACTGTCAACCCCCAAACCCCAGCCCTCCCACCTCTAAAGAGAACACAGGAATTCAGCCATTTTTTGCTGACTGTGAAGCAGAAGCACCTCCATCTTTTTTTTTTTGAAGAGGTTTTTGCTATAGGGCGTGTGCACCCACCAGAAAGGCAGAGAGAGAGAGAGAGAGAGAGAGACAGAAAGCGAGAAATCACCCCCCAGGGGAGATGGCCATGCCGCAATCCCTTCTCCTCCATTCTCCTTGGGATTTTGGGCACACATGCACATGTGCCCGGCGTGAGTTTTAAGCCACTGGGTCTGGGACGCAAACCGTGGTTGACTACATGGGAGTCCAGTGACATAGCCATTATGCTAACTGCTGGTCCCCATGCACCTCCATCTTTGAACTTGACATTATACTTGCTTCCTCCTTTTGCCCAAAATAAACAGAGTGATTAATAGTTATACTGTCTTTGCTAAAGAGTTCGAAATTTTATGTTTAGCTGTTCCTTAGCAATGTAACCACCAATCACCAGATCCCTGCCTGCAGCCCCGGGGACCATTCAACAAAGGTCTAGAGAGTGCCCTTAGAAATTATTTTTTTAAAGAATTATTTTATTTAACTTTATTTATTTATTTTAATTTGACCAGAGATGGACAGAGTGAGAGACAAAGAGAGAGGGAAAGTGAGAAAGCAAGCTGCCAGGTCCAGGACTTGAACTGTAGTCAGCCATGTGGGAGTTCAGCACCTTTAACCACTGTGCCACCTGCTGGCTCTGCCCTTAGAAATGATTTAACCTGCTTGGTCCAGTTCTGTAACTGCTGTCACATAGGAACCCCCACTCCCTTTCTTCTGCACCCCTTTCTTATTTTCCATCGTAATCCCCACGCCAATTCAGAAATGATTGTCATCTTTGCCTTTAGAAGCTCCCCTCTCCTTTCGCTCGGGGCTGCGGGGTCTTTGAGAGACATGAGTCCTTCCGAACACCACTGGCAATAAAACCCCAGTCATTCGGCTATGTCTGGATGTCCTCTTATTTCTTGCTCATTTGACTACCACAGCTGTTCCCCTGGGACTGTGGGGCTGGCCCCAGAGCATCCTAAGGGCAGTACTTACGTATTCATCCGAGATCGGGTCGGTGGCTAAGGAGACGCCCACCATGATGAGCAGAGTGACCACGAAGAGGAGCACGCTGAAATAGAGGTAGTGCAGTTCGCAGATGAATGTGAGGCACCTGCTCCTCTTCGTGCAGCTCAAGGAGCCGTAGGCCAGGTCAGCTGCCATTCGAACGATGCCAATCAAGGACCCAAGAATCAGCCCCCAGAAGGCACCCTGCCAAAGAAGGAGTCTGATGGGGTCACCAGGGAGGCAGGCAGGTGACGCCAAATCATCTGCAGCCTCAATCTCCTGACTCGCTGAGTTCTACAGTCAAGCTTGGCATCCTAAGGGCGTTAAATACCTTGCACAAGCAGATGGTGAGCCACCGTGAGGAGAGGAGAGCCCTGGGACATTTGGACTCTCTTGGGCCAAGCAGAGAACTTCAGAAGATTTGGAAACACTCTCAAGTGAGATGATGACTAATCGTCTCGAAGCATGTCCGCAAAGAACCCAGTCTTCCCACTTCTCTAAGCGGCACATCTGCCACCCTGAGTGCACAGGCCAGAACGTCAGGAGCCACCTCTGCGTCCCTTCTTTCCATCCTGACCACCACTGATCCAACTGCACATCCTGTTGGCTTTGCCTCCAAAATGTATCCAGAGTCCAGTCACTTACCAGCATCTCTAAGGCTACCGCCCTACTCTGAATCGCCATCTCCTCTCATACGCGCGGGGCTCCTTACCGGGTCTCCTGCTTGTCCACTGTCCCCAGAGAAGCCAGAATGGCTTTGCTTTTTATTTTTTAATTATTTAATTTTATTTATTATTGTTACTATTAAAAAAATTTGCTATGGGGTAAGTATGCTCATGAGAGAGAAAAAGAGAGATATGCACCCGAGAGAGAGAGACAGAGACAGAGAGAGAAAGCTAAGCTGCCAGGTCTGGGACAGAACTATAGTTGCCCAAGTGGGAGCCCAGAGCCTCAACTACCACACCACCTGCTGGCCCCAAGAATGGCCTCTTATAACATACACTAGAGGGACCAGCAGTTAGCATAATGGCTATGTCACTGGACTCCCATGTAGTCGACTGCAGTTCACAACCTCAGACCTAGTGGCTTAAAACTCACGCCAGGTGCGTGTGTGTGCGTGCCCAAGATTCCAAGAGGAGAATGGAGGAAAAGGGATTGCGGTGTGGCCATCCCCCTGGGGGGTGATTTCTCGCTTTCTATCTCTCTGTCTCTCTGTCTGTCTGACGAGCACACACGCCTTATAGCAAAAACCTCTCTCTCAACAAACAAACAAACAAACAAACAAAAACATACACTAGAGGGGCTGATAGGTGGCATGGTGAAGGGCGCTGGCCTCCCACATGGACAACCATGGTTCGAGTCTCGAACATGGCGGCTTGCTTTCTCACTTTCTCTCTCTCTCTCTCTCTCACCCTGTTCCTCTCTGGTCAAATTAAAATAAATACATTAAAAAAGTCAAATAAAATAATTCTTTAAAAAGACAAAAAAAAAAAAAACCCACAAAACCATACATTAGAGAAGACCCGGCCTCCACCTAAGCCCACCAGTGGCTCCTCATCACCCTACTTCCAGAATCCAGCCTCCACTCTGGCCCCTGATCGACCTCACCCGGCTCCACCAATCTCCCCTTGGTAGCTCTACTCCCACCAGCTTGACATCTTGCCCCTTGAACCTGCCTACTCTGCTCTGGGCCCAGGCCTTACACCTTCCCTCTCTTTGCTTGGGCCTCTTCCTAATTCTTGGTCCTTGTAGTTTGTCCTTTAGGTTTCAGATTCAAGGTCACTCCTTAGGAGAGGTCTTCTCCCGCTACTTTAACTAGTCCTGATCCCCCCAGCTCCACCTGCCTTACCGCCCTCTATGATCCTTTTTAATCCTTCGAGCAGCACTGCCTCACTATCACAAGTCTGTCTGCTCACTGGTGTCATCTATTGGGTTGTTGGAAAAGTCATAATGCATTTTTGCATAGGAAAACATACATCATGACTTTTTTTTTTGATGGCCCAATAGCTCCTCCAGCTAGGCTGCCCTGTAAGAGTAAGGACCTGGTCTTGTCTTGGGGGGCCAAGTCTAGAGCTGAATCCAGTGGGATGGGTGTCAGAGGAAACAAAGGACACAACATGTGGGCAAGTGTTTTTCGGGACAAAGCTGAAACCGAAAGCCAGGCTCACGGAAGGATCCATAGAACCATCTACAGAAGGAGCTACGCAGAACTCTGACGAGAAGGATCCACAGAAACCATCTACAGAAGGAGCTGCGCAGAACTCTGACGAGCATGCCGCCTGAGACGGGGTGGAGAGAGGGCAGAGAGAAACCCTCCAGGTTGAGGATTTACAACCACATATGCCTGCATCCATGGGCCAGAAGTCAGAGGGCCGCTGATCGGATCCCCCCGTTTTCCTTGGTGGTGGGCCCTGATAGTTTGAGGTTGCTGTCAGAGGTGAGAGGCAGGGTCCCACGGCTGTCTGCCCCTCTTGCCATGCCCTTCCCAGGAGAGCAAAGAGAAGCAGCTCCGGCATTCCAGGAACCCAGCGCTCTTGCCCTACATAACTGGTGTTAGACTGAGACCTGGTGAGCTGGGCGAAGCAAGAGCGCTGGCAGGTTGGTCCAAAGGACAGAACACTCAAGACGAGCCTGGGAGGAAGACTCAGCCAGGCAGAGGCTCTAAAGAGCCCTGACAAAGCGAACAGTCCATGAGGGCGAAGGAAGGTCAGAGCAGGCACGGGGCAGTTTGGCAATCAGCCCTACGAGTTGTTTGGCGTGACTAGGCCCTAAGGGCTGTGCATGGAAAGGGTAAGTCCCAAGAAGTAGGCAAGGCGAGACCTTGGCCTCTGTAACTGTGTCTAGTAGACTGTGCAAGGCTGAGCGGTTC